TGTGTGAGCAACAAAACGTGTTCGCAATTGTAGGTAGGTGGCTGAAGAAACATCTACAACAGACATACAATTAAGGCTTTCCAAGAAGAGCAGAAGCACCAGCAGCAGCAGTAGAGTAGTAGTAAAATATTAAATTATAAATTATTTAAGGTGGCTTGACAATCTGTTGGGTTTCGTTTCTTTTTTTATTATTACAAGAATAATGTTCGTCAAAAAAAATGTGGAATATTAAAAAAAAGTAATTGAAAAATCTTATTATTTCAAAAGGTTGTTTAAAATTTAAAAAAGAGTTTAAAAATGTTAAGTTATTTTTTATTACTTAAAAGCGTAATTAAAGCAATAAAATATACGGTAAGTAGTAAAAAATATTAACTAAAAATTTAAAAGAAAATTAATAATTTAAGTAAAAAACCAAAAAAAAGTTATCAGTAACTTATTTTTAACTCATGGTAAAATTAATGCCAACGGTTGCATGAATAGAAACAAGTCTTGGTTCTACTTACCACTTTATTAACAATGATTACTAAATAACATCTGCTAATTGTTTTCAAAAGAAAGTTAAAATATTAAAATGTGTTTAATTTGAAATGCAAAAATTAATTGTATTTAATTTGTATTTATAACTGTGTACAGCAGATTGCTTATGCATCAAATGAAAATTAATATTCAATTAAAAAAATGTCACGTTCAGCTGCAGTTTAATTAACTCAAATAGCAGGTATTAAACGTTTTTCAGTAAACGTACATATAATGATGAAAATTCTGCGAAAATCAAAATTGGTTTCAATATCATACATTTTTCGGAACAATTCTCTAAAAATACAAAACTAGTTCTGGTTACAAAATTGATTTTATAGAACCAATGAAATGCCCAGCAAAAATACCATCTGCATTACTTAGGAGTCTACACAGAGGGAAAAAGAAATATACAGGCCTGGTACTAAATTGACACCAAACTGTTTATAATTTTTCAATACCATCCGTTGTCAAAGTATATACATACATACATACGACAACATTATGTAATGTTGACAACATTGCAACAATTCGTTGTCGAAATCTAAATTTTATACACATCCGTTGTCTAAATGTTAACAAACGTGGTAAGCTCACTATTGACAAACAATCCGTTAACTAGTGAACTTACTACGTTTGTTAACATTTAGACAACGGATGTGTATAAAATTTAGATTTCGACAACGAATTGTTGTTATGTAGACAACGTTGCGTTGTCAACATTACATTAAAAACTCTTTGGTGTCAATTTGGTACCAGGCGTTTTTATTTCTTTTTCCCTCTATGTACTAATGACTTACAAATAACGTTATAGGTATGTAATTACATTTCAGCCGTGACATTTTGTTTATAAATTTTTTGTGAAAACTTATAGTGGATGTATCCTGTCGACTATTTTTATTTTTCATAAACAAACTACTTGAGCTTACCCCTTATCAGTAAGCTATCGTTGTGAATACTTATTTAACTCCCTATTTGTAAGCGAGCATGGTAAGTACTTACCTTCCTGATGACTTCATAATGACTTAAATATTATTTATTTCAATGTAAGTTTTTGCTGGGTGGCATAAAATAAAATAAATTAAAATAATAATAATACAAAATTAAAACATGCTAAAAATACTTTATAACTTTATACATAATCGAAATCTAATTGAATGTGTAAAGACTTAAAACAACAAGGCAACATAAATCCATAACAAATTAATCCACTTTTCAAAGGAACAAGAAATAAAAATCCTCCAATTAGTCTGCTAAAGTTCGTTTTGAATAAGGAAATTATTTTAAAGTTTTACATACAATTTTCAGGGAGGAATTAACAATCTTTGTTCGGGGATTTGGAATGTTACGCAACGAACATTCAAATAGGTATGTTTTTTGTTTTTGTTATTAATCAAAGTCACTTTAGATTGTCAATGTTCGAGTAATGTACAGCTGAGTAAACATTTCAAAAGCTGGATTTTTATAAAATTTTGAATGATTTTTAAAGAACAAGAATCAGTACTTTTAATGAAATATTGTTTAATTTTTTTTATGAAAAAACTGTTTAGTAAAATATTTTTTTTTATTTAAAAAATAATTGAAAACGAGTAAGAGGGCTATATTTGGTTGTATCTCCATCATGTTGTTTTAATTTTTCCTATTTTTAATTTTATTTTTTAAAATTTTTGAAAATTTAATTTTAAATTTTGTTTAAAAAAAAATCTAATTTCATTCATAAATTTTTCCCACCGCTGATGTCAGCCATTAACTATGACAGATCTTGTGTAAAATGAAAACAAGGCAACAAAAACATGCTATATTTTGATCATATCATGATTGTTGTCATTTTTGCAAAAAAAATATATAATTTTCTCAGACTTATATCTTGAAAACCGTTCGGAATTTTTGTTTACTCTCTGAGGCACAGTTGTAGCTATAGTCATAAAGAACAAAAATTGTGAACATATAAAATCAAAAAACTTCATCGTTTTAATTTCAAGTTAAAAGTTTTACATTATGAAATTGCACTCCTTTTATTAACGACACCTATACGTATACGTGTTAATGATTTATTGATTTATTACAAATATTAAGTATACGCCTAATTTGGAGAAGCACATGAAGTAAATAAAAATCGATTTTTTTAAGTTTTTTGTGATCTTGACCTTGAAGATGAATTTTTTTTTTGATTTTATATGTTTACAATTTTTGTTTTTTATGATAATAGCTACAACTATCTAAATCAAAATTATCACTTTTTTGCAAAAAATAACAACGAGGCCCAAAATCTTTGGCAGCTTATAAAAAAGGGTAAGACTGGAAGACACGGGTTTATTTTTGTTTTTTTTTTATCAAGTAGTGGTTATATTTTTTTTTCATATTGCACTGTACAAGTCATTACTCCCCCCGGGGCATGTTTCCTTGATGAAAAACTCCATCTTGGTGTATTGCAATCCCGAGGTATAAAGGTGCTACCAATACCTCTAGTCTGCCGAGACTATAAACTGGTGATGATCAAATGTATCCTCGGCCTTTCCTTGGAATGATTATACATGGGGTCTAACCAGAGTACCATATAATGGCCGGTTGCGGTCTTTAAGAGGTTAAGGAATGCACTGGAATGTGTCATTAGTTGATGGGGATTGCATTTTAAATAATGCAATCTTGCATGACATCATAAGGGTGACCACCTTCCGGTATACCGGAAGATTGATTTTACCTGATTGCTTTTTCCTTGTCGGGGTTTGCATTGGGATTGATCCCATGTTGCCTGTCATTCCGCAACGGGGCTACTATGGCAAGAGATTAGATAGCTCTAGTTCTTCAGCAAAGAGCTTGTTCATGGACCTGCTCAGCCATGTACAAAAATTTCTACCTGAGTTCTTCATAGAAGGATTCACGGGCGCGTGGTAGAGCGACATTCGTGTACAAGTCATTACTATACTCCTTATAAATAATGCAGATGGTAAGTAGTCGTCATTGAAACGTTAACTAGCGATCAAATAATAAGTACTAATCTATGAGATTAAAAGTCATTACTAGACTCCTTATAAGTAATGCAGGCGGTATTTAGTTGTCATTTAAAAATAAGTTATTGAGTAAGTACAAGTCATTACCATAAAAATTGCCGTCAAATACTATGTAACAGATTTAAAAGTTACAATAGAAATTTACTTAAATTGGAAAAGGTTTTAGAACAGAGCCTTTTAAAATGAAGAACCAATTGACAACAACCTTAACCTTAAACAACAAACGAATTTACGGCCAAGCGTGGAATTCTAAACCTAGAAACGACTTAAATTTCTTAAATTTTAATACAATCCAAAAAGTAACAATAATCTGTAATCATTTCACTGTTAAAAGTAAATAAAAAATCACATTTAGTTCTTTAAATAGTTTTTAGAAAAAATTGGACTTAACACTTTTACCCACTAAACTAACAATATGTCATTTAACGCTACATTTGTTGCATGCAAATAAGGTTTATTTATAACTAACAACTAAGACAAGACAAAGACATAAAAGTGTCAAATCACAAACTCAATTTAATGGTTTTATGACTTAGACTACTTTCACAAACCTACACACAACACTCTTATCGTTAACACTTCGTTATTTTAAATTAATGTAAAGTTATACGTTACGTATACGTAATATTTAAATTTGAATATTAAATCCTTAAGATATCTTTAACATTCTTGCTTAAAAATATTAAAAAAAAGAAAACTGAATTGATAATTTTTACTTTAATTTGTTATATCAATGAAAAAAAAACCTAAATATCCCTATAATCCCTGCTTAAGCTAACAAAATTTTTGTAAAAAGATTTATTTATTTTCTTAAAAAAGAATGTTTGCATAGAAACTTTAAGTCCTGCTACTGCCACTACTACTACTGCTGCATAAATATTTGTAAAGTAATGTTATTTGTATTGGTAGAAAGTGCTCATAGATAAAAGTGTTCAATTGAAATTCGTTTTTAAAATTTTTGTGATTTAAACGGATTTTTACATATTTCAGTTATTTTAAGCTGCTGCTGCTACCACAGCTACTGCTGCATAGCATCAACGTTTCTAAATGGAATGACATAAAAAGCAACTAAACTTTTAACAAATCACTGTGATTTACATGTATACTAATGCAAACACTGACACACAGTTACACTCATACTCATTCATACATCTTCAGGCAGCCATAAACACAGATATTTCATAAGTAATACGTCATAATCTCTTCGAACAACAGAACATTTAGTAGCCATACAAATCATATATATATTCTGCACTAAATGCTTAAAAATTGTCACAGTTTTTATTAAGGATTTTATTAAAATTTTTGTATAAGAGTTTACAGCAGTATAAGAGTAGTATAAGGCTAACTTAAAGAGCAAAAGAGAGACAGAGAGAAGGATATAGAGAGTATTTATTGTTTCCTTTTACTTTACTATGACACTAAACATATTATTGCGAAGGATACTGCTGGAGCAATACAGTCGCATTTGGGTTTTGACATGACCAGGACGTTTTGAAACGCAATATGTGAATACACGGTAGTTGTGAGTGAAGTGTACAAGTTTGGAACAAAAATGTTGAAAAGAGTCTTGATTTTTGTAGCCCCAAAAAACAAATGGAAACAAAAAAAAAACAACAACAACAGCAAAAATAAAAACAACAAGCAAGTAATGAAAATTAATGATTAAGAAATAATATGGTTACAGCTTTTTTACTACAAAGAAAAACGGAAATTGTGCGTGTTAATGTATTATGGTGGAAAACGACAACAACAGCAGCAACAACAAAAAGGTTTAAACTACTGGAAAAAGTAAAAGAAAAATAAAGGCAACAACACACTCATAAAGCCGAAGAAGAATAAAAAAAAGAAAATCGATAAAAGATAAATTGTATGCTCACCTAAATGTGAGAAAAAAAATTAAAGAAAAGAAAAAAAAAATACACCAAAAAAAATATATAAAATAGAAAAAAAAAATAAAATAAAAACGACAAAAAAATAACTACATACATACAAGTACACACAGAATACACTTGTATTCGGGTACACAATTACAACAGTGTAGATGTAAAGAATGAATTTTTATGAGTTTTTATATGAGTGTATTTATACATATTATACGAGTGTTACAAGTATGAATGTCTCTATATAAATGTGTGAGTGTGTATGTGTGTGTTTTTTTTTGCATTACATACACATAAATTTAAAACAATAAAAAAGAAGAAATATATTATCATTTGTATGTAATTAGATGAAGTGCAAATGGAACAAAAACAGCAGCAGAAAAGCATATAAAATCATAAAAATTAAATAAAACATACAACAAACTAGAGAGACGTGTAAAGTATCTGAGAAAGAGAGTGAGTAGTGAAGGCAAAGGAAATCACATTAACACATTTTAATGATTAGACTATAAAAACGCTAAAATAATAAAAAAAAATTACAACAAAATACGCTAATAGTATAGTTGTTACATTTGCCATTAAACGTAAAGTCACGTACTTAAGGAAATATTTTTTAATTTAACTTTTTAATTTAAAAATAACATTATAACACCAAAATATTTGCTGCAGTAACAACAACTGCCAGTTTAAACTCTTATATGCTTTGTTTTCCCCTCTCAAAAAAAAAAAAAAAAAATAATTTAAATTAATGTCCCATTTTCCCTTAAACATTTTTAAGTAACAGTTGTAAATTTTACTACCAAAAAGAAACCCAGTTCACTTATGTTACTGCCAAATCAATTTTGTTTTTTTTTACGCTACAAAACCCTAATTCCTTTCTTTGTTTAAAACATTTATAATTTAGTATTTTGTGTTTTTTATGTTTTGCCTTCGCAGTTTTTTTTTTATTTTTTTTAAAGGTCAATTATTTTGCCATTATGAAAGAAAAATAACCGTTGCAGAGTGTTTAAATATAATTATAGTCTAAATAATATTTACATTTATGAACTCTGTAATATATGACTATACACATTTATTATATTTATATGTATGTATGGTGCCTACACTACAACAAACAAACATACATATGTACATACATACACTCTAACATGCATCTAACAAACATAAATACATCCATCATATATTCACTCACTCGTACATTGCCAAATAATATACTTAAACTACAGGGTTGGAAAAGTTGTAACACTGTGAATTTTATTAGAAAAGGGGTATTTTGTTTGATAAAGAAACTTAGTTTTTAAACTTGTCGAATTCGGGTAGTGTGTCTAATTTCTATTTGAACAATCTAAAATGTTCTAAAACTTCTCTTAACATATACTTTACTTAATCATAAGTATTTTATATACCCAACACCACTATAGAGCGGAGGTTGTTATGCATTTATGCTGATGTTTGTAACACTCAAATATAAGGGTCCTTTGCCCATAACAATCGGCTTAGAATCTTAGTCATATTAGTCCATCTGCTACCTATAATCAAACTATAGGCCGAAATTCAAAGAAATTCGTTACACACAGTACTATTGGCTCAAGATAGGTCCATTTTTTCGTAAATCCCCCATACAACTGTCCTCTCAGAATATTCATTAAACATTCATAAATATGTTAATTACGTAAGGTTAATAATCAATTTCGGAACAAGTTAGTTTTATGCAACCAAATAAAACTTTTGATATGGTGAACATTGGGCAATATTTGACCCTAGCCCTAATACAAAGTCCTATTCAGAAAATTACTTTTCTTTACACTTGACTCGTAAAGCGTTGGAATTCGATAAACATAAGTTACTTATTTTTCAAATTTTATTTGGATCGGTCCATATGTAGCCCTAGTCCTCATATAAACTCACCTTTCGAAATTCAATTTGTATTCATATCGATATTGGAATAAAATCGTATAGATGATTTAGATTAAGAAATAATTTTTCTATCAAACTCTGTACAGTTTGCAACATAATTGCCCCAAACCTCCCGATAAAGGCCCGCTTCTAAACCTCAGTCTAATCGTATCGTATTGTAATTAATGAAATAATTATGTAAAATTTTGTGAGAATCGTTCCATAATTGAAAACCTTCATAATTCGACTATATTTTCTTACTGTTTAGAGATTTCATATCAAGTGACCCAACTTTTGAAACCGGAACCGATCGAAAGACATCACTTTCATTATTTGATTTACTTGACATGAAACACCCCTTCGGGAACTTCGAAACACCGATTCCAGACAGAATATCATGGTAAAGCGCAATATAAGAACAACTACCCGTGAGATACCATTGCTACACGGATGGCTCTAAACTGGGGAACAAAACGGGCATGGGGTTCTACATTGAAAATCCAGAATTAGAAATGTATACTACCGTCTATCTAATCATAACATTAGCCTTAAGCGGAAATAACGAAATGTGTAAACTGGCAGATGGTGCCGACTGGGGTTAATACATTTACTGAAAGCCAGAAGACAATTATGGCGATATCGGGTGATAAGTTTAAATCTAAGAACATATTAGACTGTAAGAGAGCATTAACCGAATAGTGTTCAAGATTTAATATTTGCTTCATATGGATACCAGGCCACTCGGGAATAATGGGCAATAAATGGAAGGGAAGGCCTTTAAAGGGAAGGAAACTAGATAAAATTAACCTGACGAATGTAAAACGTTCGACGCAACGCTGACGAATTCCATAAGGCCAATTGAAATAAGGAAACAGAGCATAGAACCACAAAGATATCATGTTGTAACTTTAACAAAAGAAACCGCCTCCAAATGAGCAAATCCGAGATGTTATGTATTCTAAGTGATCACTTAGGATTATGGCTAAAACTGCACGAAATTGGACGAGTGAGTACAAAACAATATAGAGCATGTAGAGACGAAGTGTTCCGTGAAAATCTGGAACACTTTATGTGTTATTACCCGGCTTTTGTCGAAATTAGATTCAAATTATCTTGGTAGCGATATTATTATGCATATAACATCGCTCACGAACACTGATTGGAAATTTCTTAGGAAACTAACCTTCTGAACATAAGCGCAATAGTGGCTCATCCTATGATCCTAATACAAGACAATTTACAATTATTTATCTATCAAAATTTAATCACTAAAACCTTAAGTTTTCAATGTTACTTATTAACTCTAGGGAAATCCTCCAAAATTTCCTATAGGAATCGACTATCTAAGACACCAAATCTAATGAACTACCACACCAGCAACTGGCAAATTGGAACACTGAATCACTAAACATCATTATCTGCTTAATAACTATATTAAGTCTCAAAAAAAAAAAGACTTAAAATCTTATTAGAATTGACCAACCCTGCCTGCATTTATATAAAATGTGAATGGGGCAATTAGTATGTAATTTAAGTACCTTGTGTGTGAAGAAAATAATAATAACAATAATTCATACATATATGTTCCTAAGTCCATACATACATATGCATGCATGTATGTATGTAATTATGTTCGTGTATATGTATATATTATTTCATGTACTTAGTATATTTTCATATGTATTATGAACACAATAAAAAAAAATAATGTTTAAAAAAAAATATTGTTCATATTTTATTTTTAAACAACACAATGGGAATGAACGAAAGAAATAAACTCTTATACCAAAGAACCAAGCAGCCAGCCAGCCAGTGGTACACATACTACTCCTCTAATTTGTTATTTCACTCTTACTTTTGTGTCAAGGGTTGCCAGAAGGATATAATAAGGGCTTCTTTTTGCAATTTTTTTTTTTCTAAATAACCGAAAACAAAAATTTCGGCAAAAATTATGCAAAGGAAATACTTATTAGTTTAGATTAAAGACAAAGAATAATTTGGAGAAAAAAGTTAGAGGGTCAGCAAAAAAAAACACTAGAGATGACTGAAAAGAAAATATGTAATACGAGGGCTACTAGATAAGTTTTGAGCAAATTACTTTTCTTTTAAATAGTGTTAAATGAAAGAAATCTTCCTCAATTTTATGAATATTTTCATAACTGCCTAAAAGTATACCACAAATTCAAAGAAAATGGTTTTACGGAAAGGAATTCTTGGAATATTCCTGAAAATGAGAATAGAATTGAATTGAATTCCGAAATAATAAAACACATATTTTTTATAACTGCCTGGAAATATGCCACAGATAAGTATTTTTTTTTTTTTTTGTAAATTTTTCTATTAATACAAAATAATGAAATATATTCCTGAAATATTCTTGAAAAAAAATGTTATATCATTATTATTCTTTCGAAAGTGAACATGTTTTCCTTACACACACGAACATAAACCAACCGTCTTATACAGTTTTCTATGTATATTTTACCAAACTTTCTATAGCAACATTTCGTTGGTATTGCAGGTTATAAAATCTTACATTCATTTTAACAATTCTGTATTCTTTTTTATTAAATCTAAACATATGAAGTAGTAAAATTACTTGTGCTCGTCTAATTAAGTCACGTATGCAAAATATACAGGAAAAACGTAGAGAAGTGATAAATTAGTTATAAACCAACAGGTATTATTAACCATTATTTCTATTAAATAAAATCTTTGACAATAGGAAGCATATAGTAAGTAGTAAGTAACAAGTACAAAGACATTCATATACATATACATAAATAAATATAATATAATTAAGTAATTTCGCTAGATAAAGATAATTGACTAATTTGTTTGATTTAATTAATTTTGATTTATATAAATAACTTTAAGAGGAATAGCATAAATAAGCAACAGGAAAAGAAGGAAACTATAAGTTGGAGAATAAAAGAAGAAATTTTGCTGAAATATGAAAAAAGTTACAAAATTTGCTTAAATTTTAACAAGGCCTTTCTATATAATTATTTGGAACTAATATTATTTTGGTAATATAAATATAACAAAACTTATTATTTTCGGGAATATTCCAAGAATTTATTTTCATATTATTTTGTACTAAGATATTTGTATAAAATTTCTAGCATACTTTTAGGCAGTCATGAAAAAAATCATTATGTTGAAGGAGATTTTTTCGTCCATAGTCTAGTGCATAGTATAGTCTAACGTCTAGCCTAAAGTCTAACCTAAAGTCTAACCTAAAGTCTAGTCTATAGTCTAGTCTATAGTCTAGTCTATAGTCTAGTCTATAGTCTAGTCTATAGTCTAGTCTTTAGTCTAGTCTATAGTCTAGTCTAGTCTATAGTATAGTCTATAGTCTAGTCTATAGTCTAGTCTATAGTATAGTCTATAGTCTAGTCTATAGTCTAGTCTAGTCTATAGTCTAGTCTATAGTCTAGTCTATAGTATAGTCTATAGTATAGTCTATAGTCTAGTCTATAGTCTAGTCTATAGTCTAGTCTATAGTCTAGTCTATAATCTAGTCTATAGTCTAGTCTATAGTCTAGTCTATAGTCTAG